TGTTTGTCTCACGCCAGCCGCGCTCTCTTTCTGGCCCAGCAGCACTGCCCGGGCTCGAGCTATGGCCTTCAGCTCCCTGGCCACGGAGGGAAGAGCCTCCTTCTCCTGCAGCAGGCAGAGGAGTGAAGACAGCCCCAAGGTGAGTGCTGCGTCCTCGGCGGGAGGGAGAGGGAGCGGGCCCGGGGAGGCAGCTGCCGAGGGGTAATGAGAGATTCTTTCCTCCGTAGCAGAGCGGCGGATCAGGGACAGCTGCCTACCACCTCCAGCGGGCGTTGCCAGGGGGCATCGTGCTGATGGAGCTGGCCTTCCAGGTGAGAGCTGAGCCGCAGGGCCCGGGGCACACGCTGCTGGTAGCTGCAGGCACATTTCCCAAAAGCCGCCAGCAGTTCCGTTCTTCTGCTCTGCTCAAGACACAGAGACACACACACACTTGGCTTGAGGCTCAAACACGTACTGTGCCTCCACAAAGAAGTGAGGAGACGTCTTATGAACTTGTTTGGCTAATGTTTTTATGCAAAGCGGTTTACCTGCGTGCCCTTTTAACCAGTGGGGCATCGTGACTGGAGCGATCCGCGAGAAGCCTCTGTCTCGGGGGTACCGCAGCTGTCCCCCAGCTGGGGTTAAACCTCCAGACCTCCCAGCTGTGATTCCAGAACCCCAACTACTCCTTCACACTGCTTCTTGGCAACAAGTATTGTTTTAAAGTGTGGAAAGACGAAGTGCCACAAAGACTCCGCTCCAGACTCCTTGCTCCGCTGGGTCTGTTGCTCTGGAGTCCAGGCCCATGTTGCTGTGGCAGAAGGCGAGCTGGTAGTTTCTCTCTTCATGAATGTGTGAAACAGGCCCGCTGCGCTTTTGCTTCTAGGACATGAAAGGAGAAATGTGTAGGGCCGAGTTAAAGCACTTTAAAACTCTTTGCAGAGCCATTTTTTTTTTGTTTACCAGTGCACGATCGAACCATTTAGTTTCCCAAACAGGCTAGTGCCTGTTCAACCATAAAACCACAACAACACTCAGGAGGCAGTGAAATCTTCATTTTCTCCCAGCTTTTAAAAATGCAAGATCTTCACTCTTGATGTGAAGTATTAGTGTCTTTGGGGGGGGGGCTTCCTAATTGCGGCATTTGTGCAATATTGTTACATGGAGGGGTGACGTTTCTTTGTCTGCTTCTCTTCCTGGCAGGGTTGTTACTTCTGTGTAAAGCAGTATGCTCTGGAGTGTTCGCGGATTCCTATGGGGCAGTCTGTCAACTCGCAGGTAACGGGCATTTTACACGTTCGTAAACAGAGCTCCCCTTTCATGAAGCAGCCTGACTGTCTCTCTTTCTTTCCGGGAGCCTCTTTTTACAGCCAGGAGAGTGCTTGCGAATGGATTAGGAGTCCGGGAGCAGTGGAAGGGAAAGATAAACCACCTCGTAAACATTTCCTTTAGATGCACATGTTCTGCTAGGACATGCTGGCCAAAGTCTTGTGTTTTTCTTTTTTCTCCTATTTCTGCTCGTATTTTACTTGTTAATGACATACACCCTACCCTCTTTCATCTTTGTTTTTGATTTTTGGTCCAAATTACTCAGATGGAATAAGTCCAGTTTTATTTCAAATGTGGCATAATTAACTGTAAATAGATTGAAATTATCCCTCTGTGTTTACCAAAACATCTCCAGATGTTGCTTGCCAGAAGCTGTTTCTGTAAAGAGGCAATATCAGCTCCTTCGCTTCAAGTCTGTGCCTGGCAGCTCCTGGAATATTTTGGGGATTTTTTTAGCACAGTTGCATTTTGTTTATAACAATATTGCACAAATACAACACATGCAGCACGTTTTAAGGTCAAAGGAGCAAACATTTTGAATGCCAACTTGGATACCAATGTTATAAATAATGGATTTGATATGCAGACTCAAGGTACATATGACTTGGGGTGCAGAAGAGTATTCTGCTGGATATATAGTTCATAGCATCTGAAAAAAGTGGATACCCAGACGTTCTGTGAACCCCCACATTCCCTTCTCCAGGATTGTACCATTTAAAATTAAAAAGCTAGTTATTTAGAAAGATATTTTCTCTTTTTTTGTAATTTAAAAGGTATAAGTAATACAATTTGTGGATTTCTGATTTTTTATAGCCACTCACTTACAGTACCTGATCACCCAGCTATCATAAAGAAGGGGAATGTCTGAAGTAAAAAAGAGCAAAATTGGGTCTATGTTTGCAGCTTTTTTTGTAAGATTTTAAAGATCAGTAGCAGTGAAAATTATGTATAGAAATCTTATGTATTTCATTATCTTTTATTATGCAGTTTCCCAATCTTTGCACTTTGCTTTTTTAATTATTTGTAATTTGTTACCTACACTACAGCACTTCCATCCTTCCATTTTCTAATCCGCTTATCCAGTTCAGGGTCGTGAGGGGAGCCAGAGTCTATCCCAGCAAGCACTGGGCACAAGGCAGGGACGCCAGTCCATCGCAGGGCACACACAGACACACACACTCGCATCAGGACCGGATTTTAAAGATGCCAGTTAACCCATCAGCATGGCTCTGGACTGTGGGATGAAATCGGAGCACCGGGAGGAAACCCACACAAATGCGGGGGAGGGGGAACATGCAAACTCCACACAGACAGCACCCCAGGAACTGAGCCCAGGTGCCCAGCGCTGCCAGGCAGCAATGCTCACCACTGCGCCACTTACAGTACTATAATTTCTTCAAGAGAAAATGTTATTGATTTAAAGGTGCTTAAAGATTTAATGAATAGTAGGATGTCTTGTAACATTTTATTCATTAATATTTTTAACATCCAGAAAGGATTATACAGAGCTCCTAAGACATCCAGCTACACTGTTGATTTTAAGGACCACTCTTAGCATTCAGTGTGGTAATTGCAGTCTCTTTTATCCTGCTCTCACTGTGATTTTATTTTTTCTGTAAACATCCTTCTTAGTCTTCATCTGGAGACGCAGAACGGTTGCTCAGGATAAAAAAAATTTGAAATGAGGCGAAGAAATGAAGGAGGATGATGAGGAAATGATTATTTCCTGTGCCACTAAAATTTCCAGCAAATAGATAAGATGAAGTGAATCTACAGATTCACAAGTACAACGTACAGGTTTGGGTGTTTTGGATTTCTTAATTAAATGCAAAGACGTACGTTTTATAACGAGCCTGAGCCGAGTTCATGTTGCAGCCGGGTGGCTCTGCTCATTTTTTAAAATGTCCGGTGGGGGTATTTCCAGGCCTGGCTTCTGTTGGTGGACTTGGGCGAGACAAGATGTGCACGCTGCCCGGCGTGGCCGATAGCACCCGCTCTCTCTGCGCCGCGTGGTGTAGCTCCTGTTTCCTCCACCTGCCTGTGTGTGTGTACAGTATGTGTGTGTGTGTGTATGCCCTGGCACACGTCTCTCTTTCTCTCTCTCCCTGGTCTAGATGCCACCCGTTAAGCGCTGCTTGTTTCTAATCCATGTCCGTGTGTGTCGAGCTGCTGTGTGTGCAGAGCTTGTGTTTCCACAGCGTCTGTGTTCCCAGTCCCATCTCATCTCCTCTCTCCATCAGGGCTCGCTCGGCTCCAAACCTCGGAGCAAGCCGTACGCCGAGGCCGCCTCCGTCTCAGAATCTGCGGTATGTCCCAGCACTCACGGGGGCGGGGGGGGCCTCCTTCCAATCAGGGCTTCATTCTCCAGAACCCCTTTCGCATTTCCCCACCTGTCCTTCCCAGAGCCCTGTCCTCCGTCCTGTCTGTCCCTCCGAACACGTGCTGGGCTGGTTGCTTCCTTTCTTTCTGTTTGCGTGTCTTGAGTCCGTGCGTCGTCCCGGGAGGAGAGAGCAGAGACGATCTGTGAGCTGAGCTCACTGGGGCTCAGACTGCTCACCCCTGTTGCTTCGGGTATGCCTCCGTAGGGTCATTTTGCTCTGGGGTGATAACATAATTTGCTGGGGGGGGGAGCGCTGTGACTTCCTGTGGGCTTCCTTTTATATCTGCAGTGGTGGTATTTCAAAGGTCTTTTATTTCCCTTTCTGAACCCACCTTTCTGATTGTGAGATTTTAAAAAATGTTCGTGCTCCGCTGAGCCGTGACGGAGTAGCCCTCAGGTAAGTGGCCCCGAGAGAGGGTGACCTGCGGGGGGGGGGGATCTCTCTGCCAGTCGTGCTGTCTCACTGCGCGCACCCTTCCGGGGGCCAGTCAATGAGTGTCGCTACCGTCTGGTGTCGCTGGGGCCCCTGGGTGAGTCAGCGAGTGCCTCAAGGGGCCACGTTTTCAACGCGCTGTCTGTCCCACTGCTGGCATGGTGTTTTTGCTAATGGTGTCAGGGTGAAGAGTGAGTGGGTGAGTCATGCAGGCGCTCGTTGGCACAATCCATGTTAATAGCAACTCTGCAAGCACTGGGGGTGCGTTATGTGGTATGTTAACGTGTTAGCTGACTGTGGCTGGAGAAGGATCATCGGGCTAGAGGGCACCTCTGTCTTGCCATCTCTCTCTGTGTCTGACTCCTGCTGGGAATCAGTGAGCTGCCTGTCGGCTTGGCCTTTCTCTCCTGGACAACCTTCTTCTTTCATCGTTTCTTCTTTGGGTTGATGTAAATTTTTGTGTCTTGTGCAATAACTTTTTTTTTTTTTTTTCAGTTTTTACATTCTCTGTTTTTAGGTGTTGGCACTTTGTGTTAAGTTTGTGGAGCGTCAACATGATAGGTGTGTGTGTGGAAAGTGTGCAGAATCATGTACCGTGTGTGTGTGTGTCCCCGTGTCGGGAGTCTGTTTTTAACTCACTTCTTGTTTTAATTGAAGCTGGAGCTTTGGAGAAAAATCTGAATCCACATACACATGCAGTTACCATGATGGTCTGCTGGACTCTTCCCAAACGATGCAGCCTTCCGTTTCTTTCACGCACGATCAAAGAAGACATTTCACTCTCTTCTGATCACTGTCTCTCAGTTGTGTGGGTTTGCAGTGATTTTTAAACACAGAGATTGTCACTTCTGGTCGGCAGAAGGCAGAATCTCTTGGGTTTTTTTTTTTCATCTCCAAGCGTTCCAGCCTGGAATCCACAATGATATTTAATATGTTTCATCCTCTCATCACCGTCCAGCGCGGCACAAACCCGGTTCCAGTTAGGTTGGGACGGCGAAACGTGTTGACGTAAAAAGAAGTTTAGTGTTTTCAATAGGACTCAAAAGGGGGAAACCCTCTGGGACCCCTGGTGCTTGAACGTTACACCACCTCTTGCAGCTGCACACCACAGTGGCTAAGAACCATTTCGGGAAGGAGCTCACACCTTTATTGTCTTCACGCCTGTCTTCCACCCGTTCCGAGAGACTTGTGTATTTCCTTCTGTACTGATGGCTTGGGGCACCAGGCACAGCGCCGTGCTCCCAGTTTGACAGGTTGGCGCGGGGCTGTGGAGACGCGCTTTATCTTTCTGCCAGTAATTCCTAGTCTTGTTAGTTAAACGTTTTTGTTAAGAAAAAGGTTCCGCAGCACAAGGGCAGAAGCATTCTAAGATGTACGTTCTTGTTGAGATTTAGAATCCTCTATAATGTTGAACAGAATAGGGTTTGTCAACATTTAATCACGTTTACTGACATACTCTGCTTAGGCTTTTGGGACTCTTTGATTTAATAGGATCTATTTGCATTTGTTCCAGGCAAATGGCCCAGATGAAAGTCACTTGTGTAGCGGCAGTTTTTTGTTTTTTTTCCTCTTGGTGTCTTTACTGTTCTATAATTACATGATGCTTTAGCCTTTTTTGCATAGTATTTTGCATTTGATATTAAGGCTTTTGTTGTTCAGTCTTTGATGCTGGAATATAATTATACAAAGTAAATCTGATTGCTGTTAGGGAGTTGGTTGCAACACATTTTTTTAAAAAGTGTCTGCAGTCAGCAGTTAAAGAGTAGAGCACATTCAAAGTAGGGCTTATTTAAGTAGTTAAACAGCACCATCATAAAATATATGGCAGTGGACTGGGGTGGTTAATTTGTAATTTGAAGATAATGGTAAGGATATTGTATTGGATAATACTGGGTTAGGTAATGTGGATAAAATGTGGAGAATCCAGTAAGGAACAGTCCTAAATGTTTAAAATGATTGTGATAGAACAACTGGGTAAGGAGTAGAGAGTGTAGAGAGGAGGATGCTGGCTCAAATCCGAGCTGTGCCTCGGTCAGCTGACTGAAACCCGTGTTCCCCCAGCAGCGGCACGCAGTTAGTGGATGCTTGCCAGGCGGCGATGAACGGCTTCGGTCTTCACGCAGCTGCAAGCCACTGTGAGCTGGTGCTTTTGCCAGCGGCGGCCACATCATTCCCTCAGCCCGTTCTGCCAGGGAGCTGGAAATAGCAGGAAGTAGCAGCTCTGAGCGTGCGTGTCCCAGGGTTGGTGCGCGTTGACCACATACTGGAGCTCCTGAATTAAAAATGAGGGAATAATTGAAGGACTAAGCTTTAGGAGTGCCGCTTGCGTACTTTGTAGTTGTAGGCGACGGGGAGGGGGGGGGGGTTCCCAGGGATTGTCATGCTTGCAGCACGTCGATCCTTCTTGTGAGCTGTTCCTTGCCAAGCGAAACGGCGGAGGGAGCCAGCCATGTGTCCGGTGACTGTTGGCGCTAACTCTCTTGCAGCTGTCCATGCTGTTCACAGAGGAGTGCGACAAGGTGCGGGACCTCATGCACGTGCACTCCTTCAGCTACGACTTCCACCTGCGGGTGGTGCACCAGTACCTGGTGGGCTGCCACATGACCCTGCGCCAGGGCTACCAGCTCACCAGCTTCCTGGAGGACTTCATCGCCCACCACCCGGACATCCCCAAGTTCGGACGGAACCACGTCTTCCAAGGTGAGCACTGAGAGTCATTTTCTAGGTGCGATGCGTGTAGAATTAATAATAGCTGTTTAATTGGTGCCTGCGCTTCTTCCGTTTAAAACTGATTTACGGCGGAATGAATCGCAGGCATGTCCCCATCCTTCGCTAGGTCTGTTTGCGCTGGAAGTGGCGTGTTGAGCCGGCGGAATTTTTTTTTTTAATGAATAGAAAAACTATGGATTTCTCAGGGCCGTGCCTTGACATGAGTGAGTGTTATTAGAGTGGAAGAATGCAGCTGAGCAGCAGGTAATTGGCTTGAAGAGCACTTTGCTTCAGCGGGCTCATTTGGCAGCTCCTGCCTCTCCCGACAGGTAGCTTCTCCCTGTCGACGGGAATGATCACGGCACACCAGCTGTACAACTACATCACGGACCACGCGGGGACGTACAGCATGAAGCCTCTGCGGATGTCGAAGGCTGCAGTGAGCAGCGACGGCAGGAAGGGGGCGCCCAGCGCGGACCTGCATGAGTATGCCCTGGTGGTGCTGTGGAACAGGTACGGGCTGGTACCCCCGACCGACACTCGGCTGGGAGCGGGCGGAGCCCCCAGACCGCCCTGCCATGATGCCCAGTCCTTCTCCGGCTCTGACCACAAGGCTAGGAATTAAAACACGTGGAGAGAGGAGGAAAAAGATTTCGCCTAAAACTTGCCGAAGATCTTCTAGATCTGAAAACAAAGTAGGGGATACTGTTCATTTCTGTCTGCTGCAGTGTTTATCAGAGAATGTTGACCTTTTGACCTTGAAACTATGGAGCAGAAAAAAACACTCTGGTATTGATGGCAGAAAAGTCCCTGAACTGAATTGTCTGCTTTTGTCTCTGTGCAGCTGGGGGACTTTTACTTTATTAACTTTCTGCCTGAACTTTCAGTCCGACTGCCTGTGTGTTGTGATTTCTGAAGTTTATTCGAAAAGCTGATGTCATATAGGTTTTGCTTTCTCCCAACCCCCCCACCCCCTCCAGCCCAGTCGCTCTTATTCCTCTGGTCTCTCTGCAGCTCGGGCTCTTACAAGGACCTGGAGGGTCTGCGTCACCACGACGACTTCGATGTGTCTCTGCTGGTGTGCCACAGCGCGGCTCCGTTCGAGGAGCAGTCTGAAGAGGAAAGGCACGTCCTGAGGTGAGCGGGCCGCCCGGGAAATCCGCCGGGCACTGCGGCCCGGCTGCGCGTCGCAGGTGGGACGATTTAGACGCGCATTGTCTCCTCCCGTTTTGGCGCGCCTGTGGCTCTTAATGGCCGTGATTCACGTCCCGGGACGGTTCAAGCCCCCCGCAGGAGCGCGGGCACAGTACCGCGGCGTGTCGAGTGAAGGGCCCGTGTCCGTGTCCGTGCTCACCCATGATCCCTGTGCGTTGTGTCCCGGCAGGCTGCGCTACTACGTCATCATGACCAGCCAGCGGGAGCTCTTCCCGCGGCTCACGGCCGACATGCGGCGCTTTAAGAAGCTGCCCCCGCTCCACCGCGAGCCCGGGGACCCGGGGGCCAAGCCCGCCCCCGGGGAGAGGGCGGAGCCGGGCGGCGCCCAGGAGCTGGAGCCGGAGCTGTGGGAGGAGGGCGCCAGCGATTCGGGCGAGTTCTACCCGGCGGGGCAGCAGGGCAGGCTGGCGCCGGGCCTGTTCTACTCCTCCCCGCTCTTCCCGCTGCTGGCCTCGGAGGTGACCGCGGCCCGCCGGCAGATCCAGACCGGCGTGCAGCAGGCCATGGCGCACTGCCGCCGGGACAACCTCTGGAGGCGGCTCTTCCACGGGGAGCACCTGGCCCTGGACAAGCTCAAGCTGAGCAAGCTGTCCTTCGCCGAGCTGGAGGAGCTGCTGGACGCCGTGCAGAGCCGCTCCGTGGGCGAGGTCGACCCCCAGCTGGTAACCGCCCGCGCCCACAGGCTGGTCACTGGGGGGGGCGGCAGGAGTAGTCCCTCATGTCCTTTAGCCATTTCAGCTTGCCCTTGCAGATAGCAGCCATCACCAACAGGAGGGTTCCTGTAGGTAGTTAGCAGGTGATTGATCCAGGATCTCATCCGGCTCTTTCTTGAAAGAAACCAGGGTATCGGCTTCAAGGGCAGGGCTGGGTAGCCTGGGTCACGCCCCCCGTTGGTGGTTTTGAAAGTTTTAGATTCACTTTCTCATCGTTTTTGCCTGTGCTTCGTGTTTCCCTGTTCACTCTGAAGAAGAGCATTGAGCAGACTTTTTGGGTCCCTTCTCCCCTCAAACTGGAGGCCGAGAAGGGTCGGTTTCTTCCACCTGTCAGTACAGGACATTCCCTTCAGTCCCAGAATTCGTCTCAGTGCCCTTTCCTTTTCTTAGTTATGCTGGGCTTTTTACCTAGGTCTTCTCCTAGGACTGTGTGAACAGATCGACACTGAGCGCTTGCAGCTGTTGAAGGGTGTGATGATGAATGTGAAGACAGAGTTAAGATAAGATCACTTTAAACTCATACATTTGTATAATTACCCCAGCTTGTATAAATACCCCAGCTTGCTCTCCATGAGACACGCAGACAGGGAGAGAAGCTGGGGGTCAGAGCGCAAGTCAGCCATTTATACAGCACCCCTGGAGCAGCTGGGGTGAAGGGCCGTGCTTTAATTCCTGGTTTTCAGCCATGTGTTGTTTTCTGTTTTTGCCTCCTGTCTGGTGTTTCAGATGTTTTCAGTCTCAGGTTTGTGTTTTTTTCCTTCCCGGTAAAGTCCTGGTAAGTGATTTTGTGGGAGCTGCTGATGGGGCCCGGTGAACCGTGCTTTTGCAGCTATAGAGAAATCATAATTGTCCTTCTGTTACTGTTCATTGTTGCGGTGCTCATTGTTTCTGTTTTCTCAGGAGGGAAACCTTCTTGCCCAACTTAAATTTGTGCAATAAGTTCAAACGAATGGCCACAATCCATTCTTGTCAGTGCTCTTCTTTTACTGTACAATTAAAAATAATAGACACTATCATTCTAAACACTTGATTGAAGTACAGTTCTAAAGGAGAATGCATGTCATGTAGGGCTCTGGTTGATAATTGAAACACAGAAACCCAATTGCAGTGGTGCCAGTTTTCTCTTCAGAGTGCAGTTAGAGCTCCTTTCACTAACCAGTCTTTGTGCAATTTAAACCTCAGTCTTCAAAGTGAAATAGAAACCATTATCTCAGGAGGCGCGCATCAGAAACAGTCTACTTGGGTAGCGTTGCTTACACAGTCCTCCTTAAAAAAAAAAACCAAGGAGCCATCTCTCCTGTGATGGAGTGCGATATACAGAGCTTTCCTCAATGTTTCAAGTGCCAGTGTTTAATGGTCATTGAGTCTTTTCCCATTATCTGTCACGCTGTCAAAATGTAGAGCAAGCTGCAGAGAGCTCTGTGCCAGAGTCAACCTTATACCTCTGAATTAATCAGCATACTGCTTTCCTTCACAACATTTCGGCGTGGGCCTAAAGGTTTCACCTTCTTTATACATACACTACACCCTCCTTATTTATGAAACAGATAAAATCCATGTCCTCATTCTCTGACAAAATTATATATTCCCCAGCCATCTTCACTTAATCCTCCAAGCTAAAGCCTGGATCTCCATTGTGCATTAGGCCTTCTGTAGGCTCATTTCCAGTGAGAGTAAAAATGTGTCTACTTGTGCTGAACATCTTTTTCTTCTTACAAATGGAAAAGCAAATAACATAGTCCCTGTATACCACTGAGTGAACAAAACAACACTTGTCTTTACATCAATACTATACATCACTGTCCTTCCTGACTGCAAACACATCCTTAAGTTAGCCGTTATGTCATAAATCATATCCCCCCAGGCATATTCAATGTATATTCAATATGCGTCAACAGAATCCCTCTACATTACATTGTGAAAATGAAAATCTGCTGCATATGTAGTAGATTTAAATGTAGCAAAGATCCTTTTGTTAAGAAAAAGCCGCTACTTTCTTCTCCTGATAGCTTTGACCGCTTTAAGTATTTTGTTGTTTTTTCAGAAATTTGCATGGTAAGGTCTGAACGGAAAACTATTCATCAGGAACGCGTTTCTCAAAAAGGAAAATGCACTCTCAGAATGAACAGGGGAATACAAAGCAGAGGGCACAAGTGGAAACTAGGTGAAAGTGAATTTAAACAGGAGGCAGTCCTTTACACACAGGGTTGTGGGAGTGTGGAACAAGCTGCCTGCCCCATGTGGTTGAAGCCGATACCCTGGCTCCCTGGAAGAGAGACCTGGATGAGATCCTTACGAGAAACTGAATGAGCTGAGGGGGCCGTGTGTTATGAAACATACGAAACCTTTAGTGTGTTCTAATTGCATGATGCGTCACGAAAGATCCCTGTTACAGCTAATGACATGACGAGAGTCAACAGGCTTCAACATGGTCTCGGAGCCAAGTAACATACGCCTACCTCCTGACAACAGCAATGGGGCGGGCTGCCCACTTTGCATCAGGGTGCGCGATGGAGCCTGTGGTAGTCGGCAGCTAATCAAGCTGGGTATTCGTTTCGTCACACGTTGGACGCAGCCCCTTAGAATTCAGAAACAGCGTTATCACTGCTTGCTGTGGATCCTCTTATCAGATCCTCTACGGTTGAAAAATTTTGGCTTGCCAAAGGGCTCTGCAAAGCACCGCTGAGCTTCGGCAATCACGTGTCTCTGTCTGATCCAGGACTGCTTTCTGACCATGACGCCTGGCTGGTACCAGAGTCTGATCAAGGTGCTGCTGTCCCGTTTCCCGCAGAGCTGCCGGCACTTTGTGGACACCGACAGCGGGATACAGTACCTGGTGAGGGTCCCGCCTCTCCACCTTCGCGCTGCAGCTGCGCGCTTGTTATTATGAGCCCAGGCGCCGGTTTCATCCTCAAATACCAAAAAGGCCTCTGTAAGCCTTAGACCTCCACCATGTATGTGTTTGTATACTGAACAGCAGAGTTTTTGTAGCCATGGCAGTGGATTCAACATCCTTTTCATTCATCCTTTTCACAAAAATATTCTGCAGCCCCTATGTTCCTTTTCAAGCTAGTAAATGGAAAAACCAGAAGAATATTTGAATCCTGGCTGTTTTTATGCTCAGCCATTTGCATTTTCCCTCTAGTTTCTACGCAGCCTCTGTAATGAGAGACGTGTTTGCAAAACCGTGTAAATGAAATGCTAAAAAGGTTCTGTGGATTGACTTCTTTACTATATAACATCTGTGACCTCACCACTAAGTGATGAGGTTATTCGCAGCTTAGTTGTGTAGGAGATTCGTTTCTGCCAAGATTACAAGGAGTTTCGTTAGGTTGAGATGTCCAGATGCCACTGGATCAGGCCTGGGTGATCACTAGCCAGCCACGCCTGCCCGAGCTGTTGTGTGTCACCAGGGTAGGGGAGAGCACCGGCCGGGATAGGGAGAACAGGTCCTCCTGTCCACTGTGCAGTTTAGGGATCTGAGGCATGATGAAGTGAGTCTTACACACATGACACTTGCAAAATTAGATGGCGGCTGTATAAATCAAACAAAAGGCAGTCCCACATTTCCCAGTGATTGTGACACCCCAAAAGCTGATGGGGGGGGGAAAAACCTCCTATTTCTACATAATCTCCAGCGGGCTATGCATGTAACCTGGAATAAGACATGCTCAGAGGCAACACAGAGAGGGAAAAAGGGCTCTCGTCATTTTTGTGCTGCAGATTACAGTGACATCTGGGGCACAGAAGTCCTTTAGGATACGTTATCGCTTTTCACTCCCCACATTTATTCTCTGTTGTTTGATTTGTCCTCTTTTTTTTTTTGGCAGGCTGTTTTAAACCAAAAATTCACGGACTGTTTTGTTCTGGTCTTCCTCGACTTCCAGGCTGGGAAAACGGTGAGCCAGTTTATCTTAATCGTCATCATTATTATTTATTGAATCTCTGCTGATAACATTAATTCTAATCAATGACTGTGAAGGCTCCAGACTGTAATCCTTCCTCTTATCCTCGCAGTCGAATCGAGCACGTCCAAAAGGCGAACGGATGGGTTTAGTGCCGTGACACGTTGACGAATTACCATCAATAAAAAATGGCGTTTCTGTGCCACTGTTTTTTTTTCTTTTCCAGAGCCTGAAGGTAGTTTTCAGAGAACCTTTGCCATCCCAGCATCCTCAGCCCAGCAGCAGTCCCCCTCCACAGTTAGTGTCCATGTACCACCACCTGGAGGCTGTCATCAACACTGCCTGCTTCAACCTGTGGACAGGCCTGCTGTAGCGACTGGCTCTCCAGGAGACTGCCGTGCGAATACTGTCCCTATACTGGCTCCCTCTGCCTTTAGAGCGCTGTTACTAGGCCTCTCTACGCACAGCCGTGGTATAAATCTAATCATGCCTTGTCTAGATGTTACTCCATCACTTCGTTTGGCTACATCGATATTTGACTTCAGCTGCTCCCATCCATGCCCGGACCGCAGCGCCTCGCTAACGAGACCCGCCTGTCCGTGCCGGCCAAGCATCTCGACGCTGGCCACATGGGCATCGGCAATCGCCACAAAACCACGTCGAGAGGTTCACCCCCGTCGTGTGGTGCCAAATCATGCTCTGTTTAGCATGGGAAGAGGTTTCCTGGTCTTGAAGATGTCTTCAGTTATTTTAAATGTTTTTTTTATTTCTATTTTCATTTTATTTTTCCGCCGTGCTTGACAAAAAAAAAAAACTTGGGATGCAATAACTGGAGGGCCAGTGTCGGCGTCGTGCAGGAGGCTGAACGATACCGATTAAGAGCAGCCCGCAGATCAAAGTTTAGCGTGCTTGTTAGTATCTCTCTGAAGGCCGAGGCGTTATCCAGAACAGAGAAGGCTTAATGCTTCTGTTGGTACACTTAACTGCATGCACCCTAAGAGGCCATTTATCTTGAGCAAGGGCACTTTACAAAGGCAGGAGAGGCTTGGATAAATACTACTACCTCAAAGTGCTGACCTAAGATTGATGAAGCTTCTTAGTCAGAAGTGAATATTTTACGGAACAGGGCATACGGTTTAGCATAATGGTTTAAATACTTATGCAATTAGCCCTTTAAAGGCATGTCCTTCTTTCTGAAGAGGAGTTCTACGAGGCATGTGTTTCTGATCATCTTGACAATGGGACCTTTTCAGTTCAGAAAAGTTCATCTCACCCTTGCTTGAAATAGGCTGAGAAATCTTCAGCCCATGTGCCCTTAATCATCCACAGAATTCCACTTATACACCCTATATAAAACTAAATTAAATTAGGAGGAAAAAGGAGTTTTCACCAACATCTGACACTAAAAAATATGAAAATTCAACAATGTAGAACACAGAAAATGTTTCAAATTTAAAACAGTAATTTTTTTAAAAAATAAGGTCTCAAAATACAGTGAACGGTCCCCGCAGTTTGACCCACGACCTCTCAGATTCAGGTATTTGTTTTTCATGGTTTTATCATTTCTGCCGTCTCCCCACAGCCAATAACTACCTTCTGAAAGTGCCTGTTTTTTTTAGCATTGGGAGAGAGATTATTGTGTTGACCTGGGAGAGGAATCTTTGAAACGTCAAGCTGCCAATGAAGTCCCCCTCAGGTGAGGGTGTTGTGTTCAGTATTGGGCAGGAGGTGCCCCTCTGGCATGGTACAGGCTTCACTTGTTCCTTACACTCTGTTCCACCACATGAGTGCAATAAACACACAGCACTTTCTGCCGAGCTGAAGGACGTCACTTGCCAGACTACGTATTCCTGCCCAGCCTTAATATTTCACCTAAACTGATTCGGAAACCAAATAACCTTTGCACTCTATAAACTCCACGTTAAAAGAGATGAATGAAGAGAAGGAAAGGTTTTAATCGCAGTTCTACGCAGGACAATGTACTTCTTTTTTTGCAATTTGTTTTCAAGTTAAGAACACTGGGTATTTAATAAGGTCTAACTATTGATGTACTTTAAAAATGCAAGTTCCTGGAGTTTAGTATTTTGTGTTTTGACAAGTTAATCTTAAGATTTGAGTGGTCTGACAATGTTGTATATGTACATTATGTATATATAAGATTAAAAGAATATTTGAAGTGTAAAACAGAATTAAACTTTGCATTATATTAAAAATACTGATGTCTGTTGTGTTTAAGATGAATTTCTGGATGCCCTATGTTGCTCAAACACCGGTTGCAGTTAGTGCCATTGTTACAGCTGACAGTGTTCTGCATTGGTCTGTGCTTATGCGGCTTCAGATAGCAGAGCATTCACCCCTTTTATGTCAAACTGTTACAATTCATACAGTACAAAGAAATGAACTCGGAAATAAAAGTTAGATTAGAGATTGAAACCATGATTGCTGTGAGCACAGTTCTTTAATGGAGTAACCAACTGGTCGTATTGGAGTTTAAGGTGCAATTTACATATGCCTTTTCCTGTATTCTTTTTACTTGACATAACCTGTGATATACTGAGATTGTCTTCTATTGCTGCTGCTGCGAGTGGGAGAAATAAGAGCTCAGGAAAAGGGGAATCCTGACTGCGAAGAAGCTAGTCATCATGTTTATATTTCCCGTTTAAAAAAAACAAAGAAAAAACTTGATAGGTTACACTGCACATAAACGTGCAATCTCTAAAATAAAGCAAAAAAAAATGCTTTCCTTTTCATATGAACAGATCATTTATGAAATGAGATGGCATAATTTGTAATATATACCCATTCCCTCTCACCTGCACTCATTATTTCAAGGATTTTTATTATTTGGCAGGCAACAATTTACACCTGACATTTTTCATCGGTGGACGATGACGATTAAAAGGGTAGTCACCAGCACAGTCTGTGCAGTGGCTGAGGTCCGTGTCCATGTGCTTGAGACTGGAAAGGGAGAAATGTGAATCTGTATAGTTTCCACCCCTGCTATCGGTACACAAATCTGTACTTCCCAATGCTAGAAGTAGCACTGGTGCAGCTTTGATTTAGGCTGGAGTCTCCACCTAAACACCTTGCTTTGGATTTAGCAGCAGGCAGGGTTAATCTACTGAGCATCTTTCAAGGTTACAGCTTCATACACAGCGGTAATGTCTGCGCTCTGACTTTGCACCTTATCAGTGATCATTCTTGTAACAATATCTGCATATTTACTTCAGAATGGCTGCACCTACAGTACATCTTGTGGGTGTCACTGACCTCGGCCCACATTTCTCCACCCTGGATTCTTGTAAAAGGCAGTGCTGGTGCAGTCAATTGTTTTACCGTATTTCAATGTCAGTTTCTTAGTTCAGTGTGTAACATAGGATTACTCCTTTATTTCTCGAATTGAGGTCTTGGATTTCACTGCCGTGGCCAAGCTTAGAAAAAAGGGGTTTTGGCTGCTGGCTCTTGAAATGTTCTTCTGGTCTGGTGGTCTTTAAACAATCGAGGGATGTTAAATCCAAACCTCAGTCTTCACTTGTGGCTTCTCCAATACTCCTGCAACCATCCAAGACCGTCTTCTGTGGTACCTAAAGCCACGCATTGGAAAGGAGAGATAAAACCATCTGTATAGCAGCAGTGGCCAGCATCTTCCCTTCCCCTTCTCCTGCACAGTTCACCCAAGGACTCTCAGAAAGAAGGCTGACCATTTTATCCCATTATCTGGCACATGCAAACATTTATTCTGCTGTGATTAGGATCTGCTTTTCAGTTTACAGAGTCAAAAAATGTGTCAACCTGGTGATCTTGGCCCTGGTGCAGTTCTGTGGTTTGGTCATCCACAGACTCCTAATGCTTTCTTCTTGTTCCCACTGGGGAAACTGCAGGCATCCCCATCCTAACCAGCACCTGACTTCACATCAATGTGCACAGCTCCAAAACGTTTAATTTGCGACAGTACAGTATCTGTCAAGGTTTAGGTTCAAGGAGGACTTAAAAAATAGGACTTTTTTGAGAGTTCTCTTGCTGAAGGCAAGGCCGTGTGCATTTCTGGAGTTAAACCAGGAGCAGCACTGCTTCAGTGGGCCAAGGAGCAAAGCCAAAATTAGTCTCATTTAATCTCTGAGCTTCTAGAAGTCAGCATTTGTGTTTCCTGCTCAATCAGAGCGGTTTCTGGGGTGAAGAGGAGGGGAGGGAGGCGGAAATTGGATGTGTTCAGTCAAGGAGGCCATGCCTGGCTCTGCATAGCAATGGCCTCATTAGACGCCCTCCCTCCAGTCCGCTGCCTGCTTCGTGTTTATCGCAGCGTCTCAGCCCCGCTCGCCACTGCGCATTCTTAATTTCAATTACAGGGCCGCAGGTGACAGAGCGCAGGGAACAGATAGGAGCCCGCCTGCAGGACTGCCCAATATTCCAGTTAATGAACAGCAGCTGGGGGACAGCTGAGTGATGCGGACCCCTCACCACCGAGAGGGAAAACTTCGGCTGTATCCATCATCTCCTTTCCCAGCCGGGACCCGGAACAAAACGACGCTAATAATGAGAAATCGCGTTGAACATAACCAAGGGGTTAAAAAGATCGGGATTATTAAGACCGTTACAATTAATGAATCCCCCGCATGGTCACAATTACTCTTTCCAATTATCCTGGGCCTGCTGAATTTGTCTTGACCAGGCACTCCAAATATTTAATATGTAGATGCTGTTTCAAAGCACGCCTCAATGTCCCGCTCCGGCCCTGCACGCCGGCGATCTGCGCGCTTGTTCTGTGCTTTCGGATCAAGGTTTCATCTGCGCCGGCTGCTTCTGCGTCTCAGGGGTTTTGGGCCGTAGCCCCGAAAAGTCATTAAGCAGCTCGTCTTAGTGCTTTATTTCCACATTCTCTGTTTTAAACAAAACAGAATCTCAGATTGGTTTTAGTACGTCCTCCCGATCTGGAATAGCCAGGTATCGGGGGGGTTCACATCTCATCTCTTGGCTGTAAAACCTGTGAGCACAAAAAGGGCAAGACACTTTCTACACCCCCACCCCCTTTCGAGACCCCCATCCCCGACTGGAGGAGAGGCAAGCCCCTCGCTGCCAGCACAGCAGGCCGCAGTGCCTCGGCCCGTGATGGCTCTCATTAATGAAAATTAATAGTAGCCTCATTGTGCTTCTGCTAGATCAAGATAATGCACTTTTTAAGATTTCATCTTCTCAATGGGGTTCTCGATTCACACCCATCTCGTCGGCTCCAGTTTCAATCGGAATCATGCCAACTCACCCTTGGGTCGATATTCACAGCCGATGTACCCCTGGTACCCCATTTCTTCCAACACACCGAAGATGTAGGGATAGTTCAACTCCCCGGGACTGTCTGGCTCATTTCTGCCAGGAACCTGGGCAATCTGAATATGGCCTGTAAACGCAGAAAAAGAGAAGTTTTCAGTGCTTGATTGAAACTTCCTGCCTCACCCGAAAATGCCCCTGAAAAGCAAATGTACTTGCCAACCAGGGGGAAGCATGTTTTGATGTTTTGTGTGAGATTGCCATCCATTATCTGCCAGTGAAAGATGTCCTGGGACAAAAAAAAAAAAAATCATATAATGAATTTTGTCAGCAAGTGTCAATTACAACGCTATATTTGAAAAGTGGAAGATGTCTCCACTGCCATGATTTCAGAAAGCTTAGCTTTTTTTCAAGTTACTTTTGCATCCTTATTTAATCATATTTCTCCTTGGGCTGATTTACAAGGCTGATTCTGACAGTTCAATAAGCTCAGAAGTAACCAGATGGGTTTATATCCCCTGTTCATCAAAAACAACAAGCTTAAAAGTTAAGTTTTGGCATGTTAAAGCTTTCCTAAAATATATTCTCAATGCTACAGCTAAGACAAGTGAATGTAATTGCATGACTAATACAGCACTTCAGCCAATGGAAAATTTTAGACAATACATTTAATGCTAAAAGGCTAAAATAGTTGGAAACTTCCTGCTTAAAAAACAAAACAAAATCAAACAAATACAAATCTGATCAGAGACTTAAAAAATGGCAGTGCGGCACAGAGGAGGTTTGTAACGTAACTAGATTGTCAACACAGCACCAGTCACTGTGGTAAGAATCTAAAATGGCAAACACCTATTCTTCCACAGAATGCATACCAGGCAGCAAGTAAAATTAAAACTTGTATTTGATTCAGCCACCTTAAAAGAGCCCCCAATTAGAGTTACCAGGCAAAATTCACACACATTATAAACTGTACCCTTGGATATTTTAATGGTCATTTCAGGAACTGAAACCACAAGAAAAACTTTTTAGCTCACCATCTGCAGCTTTATGTTTGAACGGCCAACTTTTTGCAAAATAGCAGCAGCTAGGAAAGAACAAAGAGTTTTTTAGAGTGGGGACCCGCGTCAGTGTCGAAACACGCAGAACGCTGACAAGCGGAGGGAAGAACAACATTTTGGCTGTGAAGGTATATAAGAACAGTTACTGTACAAATGAGAGGAGACTCTTCAGGTATTCCAGTCCATTTGGAGTGAGTAGTTTCTTGGTCCAAGGATCAGGCAGCATCTTCATACAATAGTGCCATCGGGTGACAGCCTTCATTCTGAATAGCCCCAAACTGGGAATAATCCCACTAATGCAGTTTTATACCCACATTTAAAACGTATCTTTACCTAAATGGGCCGCACTGACCTCTATCAATCTCTACAAACTCCTCTTCCTTGCCTAACAACACGTGCAGCACTGTCCGCTTACCCTGGTGCGGCGAGTTCAAGAAATAGCGGGGATCCGTTATCCTGGTGTTGATCGGCTCCACCAGCCCAAGAATTCCTTCCTGCAAGGGGAAAACCAGACAATCACATGGCATCGCAGACAGACCTGCCCGATGTTCCCCCCCGGTCCTCCCTCGGGGGGCCCCGTCGGCCCCCAGTTCCTGCCTCGCTGAGCACGGGCGGGCCTGTGACAGCGTCCTGAAGCACAAGCACCGCACGCCATCGACTATCATCACTACGCAGAAACGGCAGCCTCACCGACTGACATCTACAGGGGGGGAAATGCAGCAATTTCACATTTCTGTGCCCCCCCCCGTGGCTTTGAGCTCAGCGATCGGGTGTGACCTTCGACAGGACATCCGCGGCGTATCTCAGGTTGGCAATGAAGGTGGCCTCCATCTCCCCAGCTGCAGCTGCTCGATCCTGCCCTGCGGGCACTCTCCCGGCCATCAGGTGAATCCTGGGAAAACGGACAGTGGAGCCGGAGAGGCCACCCAGGGATTAAGACGTAACACCGGCCCTGGCGAGCCCAGGTTCCCCCTGAACCAGTCCGCGAAATCAGCAGTAACAGCGATACCAACTCTCTGCATCTGCTGTGCCCGCCGACGGCCACGGGTCTTGACAGTTCTTGTAGCCCCCCGGATTATTACCCCGTTTTCTCAGGGTCTCATCATTCCCGCTCATAGCCGGCTGCTTCTAATCCTCCGCTAATTAATGCAGCAGGTGATTCATTACACACGTCTGCCCCCAACACTGGGAATTCCCCCGCTCACTAAGAAGGGCACTGCTTTTCAGTCCCGCGTGCGCCTGTCATTGAAGTACAAAAAGGGCTGGCAGTGTCCGGGCCCGACACAGTGCTCTAGACGCCAGCTCTGCAGCAGTGGCTTCCAGGGGCTGCACTGTGGCTCTGGGACACGCCTACAGGCGGTCCTACAGCGGCAGCACCCGAACACCTGGGGGCGAGCTGTGCGATGGGCCCAGCCGAAGCTGTACAACGAGATGGTTTCGCTCGTTCAGTGCCGAGCTGGAATGACGCACACCGACCCTCCAGGACCGGGACTGGACACCCCCTGCCGTACCGCGAGACGACCGAATCCGGTTTTGGTCTGGGAGAATACGGGATGGGACACCCGGGTTAACTTCCGCGGAACACGGGAAAGCAGGCCGACGTTGAGTATCCGGCGTTCGAGGGGGGAGCCCAGCGTGTGACGGTGGCGCTGTGCTTCCTGAGTAGAGGCACGTCTCCCCGCGCATCGCCTCTCACGACACCACGTGCGCCACCGGCTCTGAGCGCTGGCCTGCAGAGGCACGCGTACCTGTCGCAGTCCAGGGCTCTGGCATACCGCACAGCCAGGTCCAGGCCTGCCCTGAAATCCTCCTCCCGGCCAGGCACTGCCCCCAGTCCGAGGTCTCCCCTCCCGACATCTCCTGCAACAGCACACCGGCGGACTGTGGGTACTCTGTGGGCTGCGGTGAATGGCATTCAAAGAGACGTGTAGCAGGAGTACCAGTGATCCATCAGGCCAGGGCAGAGTGATTTCATTTGCACACGATCATCATTGCACAGCGCGTCGTTGAGCTTTCAGAGAGTGCCCTTCAAACGACGTGCAGCACAGCCTAAGGATGCTAAGTAAACTAGCAGTTCCAGGTGACAGCGTATCCTGCGGCCCCATTCAAATGGGTCTTTCTACCTTACTGTAACTGCAAGGATCAGCAAGATCGCCGAGGACTAGACATCCACGCAGGTTGTGAATCAAGGACCACGCCAATGAGACAACTCGTTGGCAAATTAATGGCGCTGACGAGTCCCAGCTGACACTTGGCTTTAAATCTAACCCGCAAACTGCTGCTAATGACGCGCCTTAAGCCAATTAAAAACATGAAGGTATGGACAGCTCACGGGAGTGCTCTCTCTGAGACAGCGTCTTGCAAACTTTCAAATAATGTGAAGGCTGCGTTCGTAGGGACAAGCAAGCCCACAGTGTGTAAGGCAAACTGTTGCTGCAAGAAGTGCAATCACTAAAAATGTATCTTTCGTACCATTTTCTAGTATTTAACTTTCTTAACATTAATGTACTCGATTCCGTTAGAAAGCCAACATTAGCGAAGTGCATAACTTCACAGTGAAGTTGACTTATTGCGCTGTCCTACAGGCGCCGGTTTTTTTCTCCCTCGGCGGCGTAATAACACGCGCATGTCCTGTCTACAGTGCAAGACCTCTCTTTATTTCTTACCAGGCGGTGTGTTTATGAGCACAACGTCCACCCCGGCCTGTGTAATGGCTTTCTGGAGATCCAGCGGGTCCGCGTCGTACAGCCACGCCGCCTCCACCGCCCGGAACCCGGCTGCCGCCGCCGCTTGAGCCCGCTGGGCGAACTCTGGCAGCTCCGTGAACAGCCAGGAGAGGTTGGCACAGAACTTTAACGGGGGCATTATTTTTTTGCAGACACTTGACCCAAATGAAGGGAAGCGAGGACGGAATTTTACTTTATATAAAAAAAAAGTTCCGGGTTAAATGCACAGCAGAAACAATAACAGGCGGACTCCGGTTCCGTGGTGCAAAGTCCAGTCAACTAACTCATTACCCAGCAGTTTCAGGTAAATACTTGATTTCTGCAGGACGTAGACAGCCCGCTGTGTGCACAGATCTACACGTGACTTCGCCTGTGATTATTTCCGCACCGGACTCGGAACCGCACGCCTGCGCAAAGCGTCTTTTGATTTCGGCAGGGGTGGGTTTGTGTAGTCCGTGGGAATAGCAGGAGGAAAGCTGTACACAACGACTTATTTTCCCATCGTGCGATTCGGGGATGTTGTGAAAGCCCCACTGTTCCGTGTCTGGCATGTACAGTAGTAAACTTTGATTAGTAGTCCCAACCCCTGCCTCTTCCTGTCTCCTCGACGGGGCATTCACCTGCCAGTGGGTGACGGTGAGGGTTCGTCTCATTGTGCAAGGCACCTTGCACCTTACGTTTTCTGGACCTTTGCACCACCCTGAGAGATGACTATCTACAGCGCAGTCTGCTGTCTTTGCTCAGGGTGATCTCCATCTGAAGAGTGTTGACGAACCAGCCGCATCTCGGCGCCTGTGTGAATCCCACTGCCAATAGCCTCATCTGCCCACACACCCTGCATCTGTTGCCTTGCTATTATAGAAGGGCCTCAGAACGCTCAAAGTCGTGAGAAGAATCCTTTGTTTGTTTAAGACCTCACCAGTCAGCAAGGAATCAGATTGACTCTTATCACTCAGTTCAGTAAAACTGAACAAGTATTGTCCGGACCAAAAAAAATGTATGTTGATCTTATTAGCACACATTAGAAAACCATTTTTTTATTTTTACAAAAGCCTGTTTTTTTGGTAATGTCCTTGTTCTCGGGTTTTGAGCGGTGTGCATTTTTCACAAGCCTCCTGTGGGAGACGGCCGGATGTCTTTACGCTTTGCGGGGGATAAGGGCACGGTCTCTCTCGCTCCTGGCAGGATCTGATCCCGGTCTCTCATGGGCTCCAAGCAGAGCGCCGCTTTCCAGACAGCAGATAAACCTCCCGGGCAGAACACCGATCCGCTGCCACAGCAGAGTTTTGCACTGTATAGATTTTTTTTGTGTGTCAACTCTATGTAATTAAATTATTCATCCCGATTAAGTTATATTTTACATATGAAACACATGTGCGAATAGTCCTATATATATATATAGATCCCTGGGGAACATCGAGCCATTGTCTGATTAGTGTGATGAAGGTCTTACACTCAATTTACACTTATTGGGCTGGCCCAGCTCTGTCAAATTTAGGTTGGAAGTTTTTTGACCCCACAAATCATGTGAGATTTGGCACCTTAGCACATTTATACGTGTGACTTAAAAGCCTAACCTTTGGCCAAGCATGTAACTGTGATGGAAATAAGTCAATACGGAGAGGCAGAATACAGGTGACACCTAGACTAGATGAATATTTCCTTCCTCGCTGTTATTAGTCAGGTACTGCTGCCAAAAAGCAGTCTACCCGTGACCTCTGAACTATACCAGTCAGCCAACAGAGCTTCCCGAAGTTAGTTTGTGAACTATGGAGCTCTTTACTTTCCATTCCAGATCTGCCCGTATCCTCTAATGCAATGAATTCAGCATTCTTATGTTCCATAATAGTGTAAGGATGCCATGTGTAGCCTGCATTTACTCCTTTAAATCAGATTAATCCCGGAAAAGATTTTCCAGGATGCAACAGGAAAACCTTTTTTTTGTTTTGATGTCTCAAGCTGTCGGGGATTGTTTGCATCTGTTTATATCCAGCTAATGTTCCATGGGTTGTAAGTTTCAGAAGCTCAAGTTTGCAAAATGCCTTCTGCCAAAAGCATTAAGACCAATCACCACGTCACATAAAGGCAACAAATGCTGGAGGTACTTAAATAGAACTGAAGCCAAATGTTTAACATGGTCTATAATAACGATTGCCATCCAAGCTAAATAAAAGGTTTTCCATAATTAAAGCACCATATGAAATTAAAGTACTGTATGAATTCAGAACTTAAACTTCCCAATTATAGCTGTGCTGGAAAGTCTCCTTAAATATAATCCAGAGGAGAAGCTTTACTTGGAAAGTTTTCCATCTGTGTACAGAGACTGAAATGATGAAAGACATAACACTAACATACCAATTACTGGTATAAGTGTAAGTGTACTGCTACACACCAATTCCTGGTAGTACTTGCGGCTGTTTGTAAAGCATAATTAATTGTCTGATGGGTGAAAACTATGTAAAATAGTTACCATTAGATGCCATCTCCATGAAATCATTTTCCCTTAGAAAGCACAGGATCAGCTTGACCACGACTCTTCAACCAGGAATAATCGTCTTTCTGAGTGAGATTAGTGGAAGGAAGCCAGTACATGTTGAAACAGGTGCAAAACCTTACAATGCCTTGCTTGGGTGCTAAGAACTGGTGACTCTGAGAAACAGCCAATGTGATAGCTATTGTGCACAACTGAAATGATTTCTTCTCAGACCTTCAAGAAAGTACCAACAGGGAGAGAGTTCTGTTCCTGTACTTTTCCACTTTAGAGGATTTTTGGATCCGTTTGTCTGACATGAACTGATTTCAGGAAGTAAAAAAGCCCTCAAAGGGTCTTACCAGCAAATGACAATGAAAAATAAACACTTTTGCTTTTGAGGTTGTTCGATAGCCCTTGTAAAACACTGAGAAAATGCATTTTTCCCAATGCCAGTAAGCGGCTTTTTGCACGAGTAATGATTGACATTGCTGGGAGCATCTTTTACATGACATGTCCTGTTCACCGCGAGATTGATTTAGAGGGGATGGCACGGTGCAGAGATTTTAGAGCCCATGTCGGTGTCAGGCTGCAGGAGTTTTCGTGTCCTGCCGTCACGAACTGCATGAATCACACGTGAGCCAGATTGACCATGCCAGTCTTCCAGTCCAGGGGGAAAGGCCCTGTCAGACAGATGAGGCTGATGAGGGAATGATGGCTGATTATGGAGGTCTGTAAGGCTGCCTCCCCTAGACAGCTCTGTGATACCCTGGGAAAGGAAGACCAGTTTTCTACAGAACAGACTTAAACAAACCAGAGCATTAGGGAACATGAGTCTACATGGTAGATCGTATAGCTTTAATTTGTAGGAGTTGCTCGACACTGGTTTTGAGGTAGAGAAAAACTGTAACATGTCCAGCCGGTCAACTCTCATTCCTCAGATTTCATTTCTCATGAATGGAGATGCAGAAGAGCATCAGGGATTTCCAACCACAGCCATTTTTGAAAGTTGCAGTATGTCCTTTTATATACTGTATATACATACATTCACTTGATCTTCATTTTAGTTATTTGTTTTTGCTAGGGTTGGAGAACATTACATAAGAATGGTTCAGCCCATCTAGCCTGTTAGGCAGTTAGTGGTTAATTGGTCCCAGGATGTCATCCAGCTTTTCTACCAAAATGCCAGGTTATCGGCTTCAGCAACAGGGGTTCCCAGCTCCCATATCCCTTCCTGTCCCCCTGACTTCATTTTTAAATGCACTTCCTCGTAGCCTCCGCTTGTGGCTTCTGGTCAGTGGATCAGTGTTCAGTCGGGGGAATTCCAACGGGTTGACTTCGTCAGTGTCTTTGAGGCTTTAATACAACCTGGACACTTGTATCGGGTCTCTTTGTCGTCGCCCCTGTTCAGGACTGAAAAGGTTCAGTTCCTTCAGTCAAAGGTCCCGTGTGTTAAGTTGAGAATGCGTTCAAGAGGCTCAGCTATTCAATCCCTCCTCAGTGAAGGGCTGGGTTCCTGGTGTTCCCCTGTGAAAGGGGGGACACAGAGCCTAACCCGAGACAGATCTGAAACTTGGTCTGAAGAATGCACTCACAATGATTTTTTTTTTAACTGATCATTTTGGTGTTTGTTCGACTCGCCGTACTCCCGTTCCGTTGATTTAGAATAAAGAGGCTCCTCATCATCGACTTCCATCATCTGAGACTCGCGCTGTGTGTAGCGAGCGCCTGTCGGAATCGGCACAGACCTTTTCACGAATGATCGCTGCAGCCCCTTGAACTACAGCATGATTTCAAGGAGCTGAGCTGCTGTAGTGACACAGCAAGGCTGAGTGGAAGAACAGGCCCTGCAGGGCTGCTCCGTATCTGTTTGCTGGTTGTCATTTGTGTTAGGGGTTTCTAACACAATGCAGGAGTAAAAGAGTCTATGACACAGGTGTTTCATTTTCATAGAAATGTCACAAATTCTGCTTGCAGAACTGCAGTATTGTTATTCTCACATCAACATTTACTGTACATTTACAGTAGCTGTACTTAAGGCCGCATTGTTTGTTTTCAATGCTGAACATCTGGAAATACATAGCTGGTTCTTCAAATCTTTACTATGATTTCATGGACAATTTGAGATGCAAACAAAATATGCTGTGCCATATTGATAATTATGAATCAATTAATCTTTGCAAGCTGGGAATGCAGCACTTGTTTCTATGGAAACTGAAATAGAGGGGTATATGCCGTGACAGCAGAAAGCAGGCTGAGGTAAAAGAGGTAATTTTATATACGTACCTCAGAAGGATCTTGGGTGCCCTGTGTTTTTTTAATGGATGTTAATGAGAAATATTGTGAAATACTGTGTCCGCAGCTTTTTCACCATTTTTACCACTACGTTCTGATACCAGCCTTGAAGTGTGCATGTCATGGGTATGAATCATGGGGAAAAGTGTTGTTTTTGTGTCTTTGAAAACCAGGAGCAGAAATATAAACAAGTAATTAATCATGCTGCACTGGTTTGGAACAGAACAATGGAGCAACAGACAGCTACTGATAATAAACTTTTTCTAAAAAAGACTTGATTCATTGTTTGAACAACAGTAACCTGGGATTGTGACCGTACAGATGATTAGAAATGTCACAGATTTATATTCTGCAGAACTTTAGAATAGGGTCTGGTAAACCAAAAGAACACTTAACTTTGAGTTCAAGAGTCTAAGTACATACAGTACATACAGTGGTTTTTAAGGTTAAAATTAAATGTATCCAAACTTTTTTTAATTCTTCACAAGCTACTGTGTGCCTTTCTGCATTTATTTTTAATTTTTTTTTGTGTGAAATGAACTTCAGGTCAACTTCACCTTCGTAAGGCTTGTGTCGGTTGGCATTCTCAGTTCTAAGGTGATACAGTCAGTTACAGTTTCTCTAAATCCATTTCCTCCTTTGATTCTGGACTTCAGTGCAAGTCAGATGAGTGGAGGAAAGCCTGTTTAGCAGATTGTTAAGCAAATGTAATCCTGTTGTCATTGTTTCTACAATGTGGTTCTGCTCAAAGGGATATTACACTGTGTCCCATGATGTTCCACAGTGGAGCTGGTTCACACTTGTAGTTGCTGCCACATTGAGAGAGCACTTGTGGGCATCTCT